CCAAGAACAATCGTCAAAGAAACTCCTCGAAAAACAATAGTTAAACAGAAAAAGCATTAACTATTGAATGCTCCAAACAACACAGCAGGCATGCTTAGCTTCTGTCTGCATATATCGAGCAATGTATTGTATGTTTCAAAACTAATAAGATTTGGTCTTACCATGGTTTAAAAAAAAAATCTGGTATGTAAATTATTATGCAATAAATGTGCTGGTAATCTTTCAGCATATGTATTCATTTCTGTGCGTCTGCCAAGACACAATTACGATGTAACTCAGTTCAATAGCCATATGCAAACAGAAACTCTCGAATCATCTTCTTATTCACTGACCAATGTATGCTATGCATATATTCCATAAGGGTGATAAACAAGATGGTGGGTTTGAGATATTTACAGGTGCCTCATTGGGAATGGAGGTGCAGGCAGCCACTGCTGCCTTCTGCTGGCTTGAGAACCAATTGTACATACATGTCCTGATTGTAACTGACTCACAGATCATGTTGAGAAAGGTGGAGACGGGTACACCCCGTACAGAGTGGCAAGCATCACTTCAGAAATCCTGAGTGGTTAGTGTCCTTCGGATATTTTTTTTCCAGGTTATGCAGGTGTGTTGGGAAATGAACAGGCAAGTAGGCTGACTGGTTCAGCACCACCCGGTGGTGAACTGGTGTATAACAAGCTAGATATTGCAAGGGGCCTTTGGAAGTGAGTAAACAGTGCAGAGACACACATACATCACTGAGGAGAATGGTGCTGTGTGGAGCTAGCAGTAGATATGGCTGATGCTCAACACTCAAGGAAAAGGTGAGACGCATATACAATCAGACAGTTACTGGTGCCATAGGAATTGGAACACTTCGTTTGCTGCTGAAGGTGAGGATGGAGCACTTATGGGAGTGTCCCAAATACAGTGATATCGATTCTTTATCCTTCAACTTATGTCTTAATTATTTATAAGCACATTTATCTTCTTTCTTTGCTACTCCCCCCCCCCCTCTCCCAGTGAAGCATAAGCTATCAGCTAACTCCTGCCATGTCATCCAGTCCTTTGCTGTGACATGCAGCTCACCCCGTGTTCTGCCCATTTGATTGTTTACTTAACTTGTGCATACAACAGAGTAAAGGGATTCATATTAACTGGCAATTGGTACTGTAAGAAACCATACTCCTCACATTATTCCACAGGAGACAGAACATACAAAGGCAAGACCAGAATGCTGTGATAAAAATGTAATTTGAACTGGCTAGTCTTCTTCTTCAGCGTTCTGAGCCCTTTAGGTTCATTGTTGCAGATATCACCCGCCTTCTCTCTTTAGGTAGTTACACCAACTATGACCATTCAGCTCCGTTGTATATAGTTTTTGTTTCCTTTCTATCATCTGACATTATCTCAATATGCCCCAGCATTTCAGTCTATTAGCTCTCATGATGCTAGAGCTCAATGGTGATTTAAACATATTATGAACTTTGTTGTTGCTTCTCACTCTCCACTTCCCGCTATTTGCATCTTTGATGAGTCCAAAGATTCATTGTAATACTGTTTTTAAAAATTGTGTAACGAGGCTTCATCTCTTTTAGTTGTGCTGAGTTTTAGAGCCAATAAAACGATTGGTCTTAACATTTTGTATTTTTGATCTTGGTTTTGTGAGATAGAGATTTTTACTTGAGCAGATGTTAAAGGGGACAGTATACTTTATTCCCAGATTGTATTATAGATTGTATTTCTTCTCTCAGCATGTTGGAGCAGTTGAAGTTTGCAGCCAAGTACTTATATGTTTCCATTCGTTTGATATGAACTGGCTAGCTTGATGATCACAATATATTAGCTGCTTTGTCATTGTATTATTAACTCTTTGAGTCCCAGGGGGTTTAGCATCACAGGCCCAGGTGCAGTAAGAAAAGTAATAAAACCGGCGCAACATGTGTTCATTAGGCTTCTACACCTATGAATGTCTAATGCATTCCTTAGGACTCAAAGAATTAAAAATGTATTCCTGGTTTGGGCCCCATTTTAGCGGGGGAAAGAAGAAAATACACCCACTGCCCACGAACAAGCAGGTCGCACAAGGCGACTAATTTGGGGGAGTTTCCTTTGAACTCAGAGTGCATCTGCCTGAGAGGTGGGGAACCAACAGTCTGCATACAGATAACTCAGAACTGTAAAACAGATGTGCATTTAAAAGCTTAAGTCCTGGAACAAAACCAAAGTCCAGAAGTGGATGAATGACCATAATTTTCCGATGAAGTTTACAGCTGAGGAACACCAAGAAGAAGTGGAGATTAAAGAATTCAGTAATATGAACATGCATGTTTTTGTTTTTGATATTTTTTGTTGCTTGTTTAATGAGTATAGTGGGCTCTGTGGCTAAGTCGATGCGAACGCTTCATAATGCCGGGGTGCCGGGTTCGATCCCAGCTGCGGGCCATCCGCCTTACGCTGGTTTCGACAGTGGTATCAGGAGGTCGACCGTCCAGAAAGCAATGGCAAACTACTGGATGTAAATTGCCTAGAGAAACCACACAGCAGCCAGGGGCTGCTGGGGTTGGTTCTGCAACGTCCTGTAAAGGATACACAACTAACCTTAATGAGTATATAAGGGCTTTTTCATGCTCCCGGTATATCGAGCATGTGGTGTTAGGCCCATATCTGCAAAGACCAAACAGCACTTCTTGGTGGCGGTGTCAGCATCATGCTGGCCACTTCATTTCCTAGGGCATTTCCTGGCACCCATGTTAGGTTGAGATGACATGCAAGCGTAAATGTATACTCTAAATCACAGACCCTTTCTGTATTTCATGTGTTCATTATAAATTAGGTGTTAACTCTTCCAAATCTACATGGGTTACACTTTAAAATGCCATTATGGTCACAATCTTGAATTAACAGTCACACTGGCGGTCAGCTTTATATGCATTTCCTTTATTTACTGCAACAAGCAGTAAAAGTAAACTATGAATATGTTGTTCCCCGATTACTTTCCCTTGAAAAGGTATTTAAAAAAAAAATTATATTTTGGCTGTTGTCTTCATTAAAACTACATATCTATATGCGTCTGAGAAAATTCATTTGTCTGTCTCTTAAACTGTGAAATACTGGTGTTAGTATTACAGGGGATGCCTCGGATTAACTTAGGGGCAATGACTAAAGAACTCTGTATCAGAAATCGAGAGAGTTGCATGCAATAGAGCAGAGTGGAGAAATAGAATGTGAGCCCCAGGTGAAGTCTAATGGCACACATTGGATGATGATGATGATGAGAGTGAGAGAGAGAGAGTGTGGGGTGACACACACACACACACACACATATATCATCAGACTAGCTGCTTTCCTGCTGGTTCAAAGGCCTTGAGTTGAAACGCAGACTGAGTGCTCTCTGGTTCAGGCCCCGGAGAAGGCTGTGATTTTTTCACGTTAAATTCTATTAATTCCCCCTGGTCTCTGGGTAGTAAGATCGGATGCCCGTGTGTATTGTTGCGTACCTAAAAAATCCCTTGGTAGTTGGAAATCAAAAAGAGTAGCCTAACGATGCTGCCTGAGCAAAATCTGGAGTTAAAAATCTTCCCAAAGTAAATCAGGATCCTGGCCGGTGCTACCAAATATGTGCACTGTGCTGAGACTCTTCAGACACAAGCTTGAGTTGGAAGTAAAAAGGAGCACTTATGGGTTACTACCTTTGTGCCATGATGTTGATCTACTGTGTTAACTAAACTAAACAGAGTAAAGATACTGCACCGGTAGAGACAAAGATAAGGTAGAAGACGGGATATTAAATATAAGGTTTTCGTTAGACCCCTATTTCCACTAGGCCTAATACAGAGTAGCGACAAAGACCAAGATGAGGTAGATGACGAGAGAATAAGACTGTCTTTCACTATCCTGGGTGAAGTTGGGCAATTAAATCTAGTCGATTATAAAAATCTTTCTCAATGTGGATTTCAACTTAAGACCTTTAAACCAGCAGTCTGATGGTGGAGGTGGGGGTGGGGTGGGTGTGTGTGTCAGTCTTCATCCTTTGTGTGCCATTAGATGTTACATACGGCTCACATTCGATTCCTCCACTCCCCTCTGTTGCATGCAACTTTCTCGATTTCTGACATAGAGTTCTGCCCAGCATTTTTAGCTTCTCGTAATAATGTTCTTCTTAATGTTTCCCTAGGACGTCCTCTTTTTCTCTCTCAGACCATCTGTTTCCCATTTCAGTACCTGTTTTGTAATTCCTGCTCATTTAATCTCAGAGTGAGCCCAATATATCTCCAACTTCTCTGTCTTATTTCAGTTGATACGGGTATTTGTCCAGACATTTCTCTGATCTCCTCACTATTTTTGAATTCTTCTCATTTTATGGTGATAGTTTTTCTCAGACATTAATTTTCAAATTTTTAAAAAACTTTATGTCTGTCGCTAAAGCGTTGCAAATGAGCTTCATAATGCCGGGGTGCTGGGTTCGATCCCAGCTGCGGGCCTGGAGCCTCATGTTGGTTTCGACAGTGGTATCGAGAAGCCAACCGTCCATAAAGCAATGGCAAACTACTGGATGTAAATTTGCCTCGAAAAACCACAACAGACAAAAAATGCTGGGGTTGGTTCTGCAACATCATGTAAAGGATACGCAACTAACTTTAAAAAAAATGTATCTTCCGTTCCATATCTTTCGTGGTTCTCTAACTTGCACTGGTAAATGTTAGAACTGAAATAACGTTAGAGTTGAAGATTTGCAGTTTAGTGATTAGGGGGGGGGGGGGGGGTTGTGATTGCATGTGTGTCTCTCTAAATATATATTCCCTTCTGTTCAATAATTAATTTTTGCACATGCTTGTGAAGTCTGTTATGTCCTGTCCTGAGGCGTAGAATGATGACCTGCCGGCCAAGTGAGTGGTAAGCCAGTGGCATCAAATAGGTGCTTTACTTTACTTTACTTTACTTTACTTTACTTTACTTTACTTTACTTTACTTTACTTTACTTTACTTTACATATAGAGCATATTAAAAAAAATTACCTGCATCACAAGAATCCTTGAGCGAGGCATACATTGCACACTGGACATCACCCAAGCCAACATAAACAGGTATGCCTGATGGCCATTCTGTTAGTGAAGCAGTCACATTGCCCACACATGATCCAGCGGGAACTATCTTCGGCAGAAGTTTATGTGGAAAGTCTTGATTTTCATGTCTGCTGAAGAAGATAATTAAATTTTTGTGAGTTTTTTCTGACGAGAAAGAGAATTTTTAAAAACTGTATAAGTCCTATTGTGATAAACAGAAATAAATCATTGACATTTGTTAGATTTGTGAAAGATTATTTCGAAGCTGGAGAGATTTGGTTTATAGACGAATGATGAGAATACCCTGGACAGATAAAAAGAGTAATGAGGATGTTTGAAAAGACACCGACTTATGAAGAGAATTGACTGCCCACATCCAAAAGAGACAATCTACATTCTTTGGTCATGTGATGGGAAGGAGAAAACTGGAGTAGATCATGATGGTAGCAAAGCTAGAGGGGAAGAAAGACAAAAGGAGACCAAGAGAAAAAATGCTAGACAAATCTGACACCACGTCAAAGGATCGTCCGTATCAGAGTTGAAGAAAGTACAGGAGACAGAAGATTGTTGATAGACATGACTGCCAAAGCCACACGGCATGGACTTGAAGAAGAAAAAGAAATTTTCTTGTGGAAGGTGTAGTGCAGACCGTTAACAATCATCATCTTCTATAAGTACTTTTTTTTCAACTAATGAATATCCTGTTCTCTGTCTTCTCCACTTTTTGGCCTTCAGGGATGGAATGTTCACTGGCTGAATTCGAAATTCTGCCACTAAACAAAAACAATTTTTTTTTTAATATGTTGAATTTTAAATTAAGAATCAACATCACAGCACTCGGGACACTCCCATAAGTGCTCCGTCCCCATCTTCAGCAGCAAGCGAAGAGTTTAAATTCTGATGGTGCCAGTAATTGTCTGACTGTATATCCGTCTCTCCTTTCCCCCGAGTGTCGAGTGTCAGCCAGATCCTCTTGTAACTCCTCGCAGTGCCATTTTCCTTGGACTGTAATGATCTATTTGTGCCCGGCACTGTTCAATTACTCCTAAAAATCCCTCACAATATCCAGCTTGTCATACATCAGTTCACCACCAAGTGGTGCAGAACCGACCAGTCTATCTGTCTGCTCATTTCCCAACACACCGGCACAACCTGGAGAAAATATCCAAAGGAGGTTAACTACCCGGGACCTTTATAGTGATGTTTTTTAAAAAGCAATGGACCCTTTTTGCCCTAGTGATGCATCAGAAATGTGGTGCTAATTCTTACAGACCAATCAGCGCTCAATTGGTGATGTGGTCACCTTTGCCTTCCAGGACATCATCTCAGGCTACGTGGACCAGGTAGCCAAGGTAATTGTTTCTTAAAGTCTAACATGATACAGAGCAGATATCTAGCCGACCTCGCCTCTTACTCTGTCTCATAGTCTTATTATTTTGAACTCCCCAGACACAACAGGGCGTATTTATCATTTACAGAACAATTTCTTAGAATAGAGTGAAACAGGATAACACTTATTTGATACTCAAGGAGTTTAAAACGAACCAACACACCGGACTTAAAATGGGAGCACTGTATTTTTTATTTTAAAAACTGTTTGGCATTTCAACAATACTCGAATAAAATATGAAACTCTAAATTTTATAGCTTTAAAACTAAGTAATGCATTTCCCATTCTAATGTTATTTTAGTTTTAATATGTCAGTGAAAGTTTGAGAACCACTAAAGACAAGAAAACGAAAGTTAAATGCATTCAAAAACAAATGTCTGAGGAAAATTACGAACATAAAATGGGATGAATTCAATGCTTTCGAAGGGACTGCACAGGACAGAATAGAACAATATAAGAGAAATTCTGGGCAACCACTGGTATCAAGAGTGATAAGAGAGAAGATGGCACTAGACTGGACACATCCTGAGAGAAGATGGCGCTAGACTGGTCACATCCTGAGAGAAGATGGCGCTAGACTGGACACATCCTGAGAGAAGATGGCGCTAGACTGGACACAACCTGAGAGAAGATGGCGCTAGACTGGATACATCCTGAGAGAAGATGGCGCTAGACTGGACACATCCTGAGAGAAGATGGTGCTAGACTGGACACACCCTGAGAGAAGATGGCGCTAGACTGGACACACTGAGAGAAGATGGCGCTAGACTGGACACACCCTGAGAGAAGATGGCGCTAGACTGGACACATCCTGAGAGAAGATGGTGCTAGACTGGACACACCCTGAGAGAAGATGGCGCTAGACTGGACACACCCTGAGAGAAGATGGCGCTAGACTGGACACACCCTGAGAGAAGATGGCGCTAGACTGGACACATCCTGAGAGAAGATGGTGCTAGACTGGACACAACCTGAGAGAAGATGGCGCTAGACTGGATACATCCTGAGAGAAGATGGCGCTAGACTGGACACATCCTGAGAGAAGATGGTGCTAGACTGGACACACCCTGAGAGAAGATGGCGCTAGACTGGACACACCCTGAGAGAAGATGGCGCTAGACTGGACACACCCTGAGAGAAGATGGCGCTAGACTGGACACACCCTGAGAGAAGATGGCGCTAGACTGGACACATCCTGAGAACAGACGAACAGAGAATTCCTAAACAGGCACTGAAAAGAAAAAAGAAAAAAGGAGGGACTGAGAAAATGAGGACATCCATGAAAAACCCTTAATGTTGATAAGAGGAAGTCAAAGCTGCTAGACTGGATTCCATCCGAGATATCCAAGTGATTGCATAGGATAGAAGAGAATGGAGGAATAGAGACTGTGTCCTATGTGACATATAATGGCGCAACAGGACAGTGACTGAATGAACATTTCTACAAAGAAGACTAGTTGCCTTGCACCGATCGCTATTTCTGCAAACATTATGTAGTGAGGCCTCAATCTCCTCCATAGTCATACAACTGCCATACAAATGTCATATACTGTCATAGAGCTGCCATACAACTGTCTGAATGCCACAAAATGTTCCCTAACCTCTTCCAGGTCTCAGAGTGGCAAGCACTGTCAAAGTGTGAAACACATTTCCCTAACCTCTTCCAGGTCTCAGAGTGGCAAGCACTGTGAAAGTGTGAAACACATTCCCTAACCTCTTCCAGGTCTCAGAGTGGCAAGCACTGTCAAAGTGTGAAACACATTCCCTAACCTCTTCCAGGTCTCAGAGTGGCAAGCACTGTGAAAGTGTGAAACACATTCCCTAACCTCTTCTAGGTCTCAGAGTGGCAAGCACTGTCAAAGTGTGAAACACATTCCCTAAACTCTTCTAGGTCTCAGAGTGGCAAGCACTGTAAAAGTGTGAAATACATTCCCTAACCTCTTCTAGGTCCCAGAGTGAGTGGCAAGCACTGTGAAAGTGTGAAACACATTCCCTAACCTCTTCTAGGTCTCAGAGTGAGTGGCAAGCACTGTGAAAGTGTGAAACACATTCCCTAACCTTTTCTAGGTCTCAGAGTGAGTGGCAAGCACTGTGAAAGTGTGAAACACATTCCCTAACCTCTTCTAGGTCTCACAGTGGCAAGCACTGTGAAAGTGTGAAACACATTCCATAACCTCTTCTAGGTCTCAGAGTGGCAAGCACTGTCAAAGTGTGAAACACATTCCCTAACCTCTTCTAGGTCTCACAGTGGCAAGCACTGTCAAAGTGTGAAACACATTTCCTAACCTCTTCTAGGTCTCAGAGTGGCAAGCACCGTGAAAGTGTGAAACACATTCCCTAACCTCTTCTAGGTCTCAGAGTGAGTGGCAAGCACTGTGAAAGTGTGAAACACATTCCCTAACCTTTTCTAGGTCTCAGAGTGAGTGGCAAGCACTGTGAAAGTGTGAAACACATTCCCTAACCTCTTCTAGGTCTCAGAGTGGCAAGCACTGTGAAAGTGTGAAACACATTCCCTAACCTCTTCTAGGTCTCAGAGTGGTAAGCACTGTGAAAGTGTGAAACACATTCCCTAATCTCTTCTAGGTCTCAGAGTGGCAAGCACTGTGAAAGTGTGAAACATGTTCCCTAACCTCTTCTAGGTCTCAGAGTGGCAAGCACTGTATACTGTATATTTCATAATATAGTCTGTATGGAGAGATCAGAAAAAGTCATTATCATGCACCTCAAAACAAGGCAAAATCGATTACATAACCACACACATTTAAGAAAGGCATATCAGCCATGTGCATATATGGAAAGTTGTCCCAGACAACAAACACATACTCTGGGACTGCATCGATTATGACACAGTAAGGCAAACCTTTTGGCTAAAAAAAGAACAACAGTAAACTTTATAGACCAATGATGGAACTAAAAATGACAGTTAAAATTTGTACAAGAGACAAAACTGCAGACACAGAAAACGTACTTTCAGGTCAGTGAAAGAAGAAGAAGACAATCTGTGACTTACAGAACAGAATCCCACGATAAATTAGTTCTGTTGAAAAAACCCAAACTGGCAGCTAGCTGGTCTGATGTCACTGGGTGATCAAGGCCACATAAAACCGACACTAAGAAATCCATTATGGTCCCGCAACTTGTAAACTGGCCATCTTGGAAAAAATTTGCTTGATTTCGTGACAGCCAAAATATCGTCACACAGCCATGTCCTGTTGACACTGGTTGGTGAGAGTTACTCGCTCTTGGAAGTGTATCTAGAGCAGGTAAGTAAAGCAAAATAAAAACTGCATGCATTATATTTTTCTGAAGCATCACTGATTTTAATAGTCATTACTAATATTGCATTCTACCTCTTTTTCTGTGTCTGTCCTTATAAGTGTGGTTGGTACGTTGGTTGTGGTTTACAGTCTGGCTGCGATATCTGCACTTGTTGACCTGACAGATCCAGTGTCAATAACCCTTTAAATGTCCTCTTTTACAGCAGTACTGTTAAGATATAGTAAGTCTGTTCTTTACTCGTTCTCAATTTGGAGCCCCGGGTAATTAATCATGCATTCAGCATTGCCATATGGAGTTGAAACATGGAGAGCGACTAGAACAATAAGTTGAGTTGAGTCAAGACTTGACATCACAGCATTCGGGAGCATTTCCATGTGTGCTCCGTCCTCATCTTCAGCAGCAAGCGCAGAGCTCCAATACCAATGGTACCGGTCACAATCTGGTTATATATCTATCTCTTTCCTCTGAGTGTAATGAGCCGGCCAGACCCTTGGTTACACCCAGTTGCCTCATTCTCTCCAGGCTATAATAATGTTGTTCTCTACTGATTCCATTGCTTGTTTCCAAAGAATCTTGACCACATCTGCCTTGTCATGTATCAATTCACCACCCAGTGGTGCAGATCCAGCCACTAGAACAATAATTAACAAACAATGATAAATAACAGGAGGGAACTAAACAACTTTTAGTAAAAAAAGAGGTGTGGAAAAGACGCTGGCATTGGTTGGCCATAACAAAAGCTTCTTTTTTAGCTTTTGACAAACCCAAGAAAAAATGAGGTTTTAAACAATGGATCAACATCGTGGCACACGTTCTACTTTTAAGTCTGAGTCCAAAAACGCTCAGCACAGTGCACAGGTTCTGTAGCACCAGCGAGGATCCTGAAATTTTTTGGGTAGACTCTAAACTATAAATTTTGCCTCGGCAGCGCCGTTAGGCTACTCTTTTTGATTTCGCACTGCCAAGGGATTTTTTTATGTGCGCAACAATGCACAAAGGTGCCCCGATTTCACTACCCAGAGACCAGGGGGAATTACTAGAAGTCCAAGTCCACGTGAAAAAAATCCCAGCCCTTACCAGGGATTGAACCCGGAACCTCCAGCAAATCCCAGCTATTACCAGGAACTGAACCTGGAACCTCTGGCACCCGAGGGCGGACACCATGCCTCAAGACCACGCAGTTCCCAAAAAAAAATGAAAGATAACATAGAAATTCAGGTGTTTAACTGAAACTACCAAAACTTCCACTTACTAAATTAAAACTGACCTAGAAATTCTGGCGTACATCTCTGATCCTGCCAGGTGTACAGATTACTGACATAAAACTGACCAAGATCCCCCAGACTGTCAACACGGCCGTTTGGGCACTTCTGCCACATCAGCACACCATGCATTTGTCCTGTAATACCAATCCCTGGTTGGAGGGTGAGACAGCAAAAAAAGGATTAGTTCCAAAAGAACACTAATAAAACACAAGGCTTTCAAAGTTTAGGTAATTCACACAAACACCACATACCGTTAACATGCAATTTAATCAAAAATCACATAAATGAAGATAAGTGAGCCCAACCATTTACTTTTGCAAACCATGTGATTAATTATAGATTGGGCTTGTTATTTGTATTTTTTTGAGTTATATTGCATGTTGTAGATTTTGCAAAATAAGTTAAATATTATGTTGTTTACATTAAATGTATGTGTGCACCAAAATAGATAGATACATAAATAAATCTCTTCCCCATGTGGGTTCTGGGGATCCGTTGTGGGGGAAAACAATGAATAGACCCACTGCCTTCCCAGCAAGCATGTCGTAGGAGTCGGAGAATGTGGGACCTCCTTCGAAGTTGAAATGCATCTGCCCGAGTGGCAGGGGAACGACCAACTGCACACAAATAAGTCAGTAAAACAAATGTAGGCACAAAACTCAGGCCCTGGCACCAAGCCAAAGTCCAAGTGGACGAACGACCAGGACTTTCTGCTGGGGCTTACAGCTGGTGAACAAAGAAGAGAACAATTCTATTTTGCCTCTATGCATTCAATAACTGTTAACTCCAGTGGAAAAGTCTGGTTGTTCATCCACTTCTGGACTTTGATCTTGTTTCCAGAACTTAAATTTTGCATGCACGTCTGTTTCACTGAACTGGCTTATGTGTTTGCAGATTTCTGAATCCTCGCTTCTCAGGCAGATGCACTGCGACTTTGAAGAAAACACCCTGAATTAGTATTCTGTCACGACACACTTGTTGGGGGCAATGGTTCTATTATTCTTTTCCCCCAAAATGGGGCCGCAGAACCGATAGGGGGAGATGAATAATCTGATAAATAAAAGAGAATAAGCTCTACTAAACTCAAGTTAACTATCATTAAGGCTTTTTTTTTTTTTGGAGAAGCAAAAAGTACCGGTACTCACCACAGAGTGTCTAATAAAAAGTGCTGGTAGGCATCGCAAAGTGTCTATTACAGTAATTAAAAAGTTAGTTGCATATCCTTTACAGGATGTTGCAGAACCAACACTAGCATTTTTGGGCTGTAGTGGTTTTCTAGGCAAATAAATTTAAGTCCAGTAGTTTGCCACTCAGTAATAAAGAGACAAACACTGTTTTTTGGCCACAAAATGAGAAGAGAGACATTGGAGAACCTTGTGACAACTGGAAAGATCAGTGGAAAAAGGGGTAGAGGCAGACCAGGAGAGATGCTGCTAGATGGGCTGAAACGATGGCATAGAGGGATATCATCAAGAGAGCTGTTCCACGCATGAGCGTCTACGCCAGTTGATAGGGCACATGATGATGATGATGAGTTTGCCACTGCTTTCTGGACGGTCAGCTTCTCGATACCACTATCAAAACCAACGCAAGGCTTGTAATGCTGAACAAAATAATGCCTTTAAAAAATTTTTGCTAGCACCGCATACCACCAGAAAAAGTCCTGGCAATCATCATCACGTGCCACACCAGTAAGTGTAGACAGTTATGGTTCATAATCTCACACAATCAGCAGTCTCAGGTTCCTTCCAAGTCAGAGTGCATCTGCAGGAGAGGTGAGTAACCAACAGTCTGCATAATAATAAGCTAGATCTGTAAAACTAAAGTGCATGCAAAACTCAAGTTCTAGAAAAAGACCAATGTGCAGAAATGGTTGAACAACACAGCTTTATACCAAAGTTTACAGCCAGTCAACACTAAGAAGATTACAGACCAGTCTCAGTACAGGGCTGTGTTCACATCTCAATTATGTGACATGGCCAAGCCATCTAGGTTTTTACCTCTTTTATTTTCCCTTGCTCTTTTCTTATCACACTTTGTAGTTGTCACTAATTAAACAATTGATAGACAACATATTCATACCAACACTGTGCTTCAACTGCCAAATACCTATCACCAAACTTCTTTTATTTTTCCTTTGCTCTTTTCCCATAACATTTTCTGTCACTAATTTAACAGATTACAAACACCATAGTCATACCAACACTGTGGTTCAACTGCCAAACTGGGACATTATGAAAGGTTAACCTACATAACCTGTGAAATGAGATGTCCAAGGAAAGCCGCCACAACATAAAGTGAGAAATGATTTTTTCAGACAGATGATCTTTCAGACAGGCTGCAGAAGAACACTATGTGCCAAATTCATTGAGGGACAGAAGGTCAAATGGTTCGGTCATCTCGTTAGACTGGAGCCAGAACAACTACCAATACAGGTGCTACACATGAAAAGATGTCGTGTAAAAGCAAGAGGTCGCCCTAGGAGAATCATTATCATCATCATGTGTCCTGACAAATGGCTTAGGCGCTCATGCGTCTCCACAGCAGCTCTCTTGATGAAATCCCTCCATGCCATCGTTTCAGCCCATCCATCCTAGGTGAATATGGATTAATCAATTAAAGAGCTTCTTCACTAACACAGAAAGATAATATCCATTTTCATGCATCAAGCAATGGATTGCAAACTGCTCCTTCCCATGACGGAAACTGATGATGACGATGATGATGACTAACTTTAAAATGTATGTCAACTTAGCCAAACATATTAAAATAAAATGACAGTTATTACCTCTTATATTCTCCTTAAACTTCATCATTAACGGGCAGACCAGATTGTCAACTGTACTGAGTATCTTACGTGGGTCTTGCTCATATCCCAGACTTCCAGCGGTACTTTCTACTTGTGCGGCTGTGGGACAAGAACTTGACTGAACGACACTTCCTCCATTGTCTACTAACACAACTTTGACGGATGTGGTGCCTAGATCTATTCCCAGCCATAGTGAATCATTCCTGCTAATGTTGGTGGCCATTTTTGTCTACTCTTCCAGTGACCTGGTATGTGGAAAAAGCACACAATTAGGATAAATGAATGAATCAATCAAACACACCAATGTTTCCCCACTGTAAATTTGAACAAAGGAGCTTTGAACAATAAAAAGCACAATTTATTGTCTGGCATAGTTCACAGTAAGAAACTTAAAGAAGCTTTGCCTGCCATCAAACAACACCTTAGTGAACTGAAGCACAAATGGGATTTCAGAAGAATAGCATCTGTACTGATACAATATTCACACTTAGGCAATGAAACATTTACATATGCTAGCTGTAACAAGAAAAGATTGACCTAGGAAAGATAGTATATGGTGATGAGTCAGTACACAACAATTTCTGAACTTTATTGGTAAACAAAAGATCAAATGGTTTGGCTATGCGACATTATTGGCAACAGACAGCGTACCACAGAGAGCAATGTTATACATATAAAGTGTTAACACAGCCAGAGGTCGACTATGCGGAATACGGACTATGGAAATCAGAGACACTAAAAAGTACTTCATAAGAAGTGAACGGAAGGGCCCATTCCAAAGATCTCTTTCTGCCCTGACGCTGCTAGGCATTCCAGGAGTAGAGAAAAAAAGAAGATATTTTGCAGTATCTTGCCAGGTCCATCGAGCATCAGCTACTGAACCCATTTTGAAACAAGAACAGTGTCTTTTACAATCTGTATGTTGACCAAAAACAGAATGCTAAACTTTTCTAAAGCCAAGATGATAAATTGCTCTTGAATTGTGCAAACAAAAATACATGGTTATGAACCTGCATTTCACCTGGCAAAATAGGCAGTTACTTCTGAGTGTAGCTGATTCTGTATTTCAGTCAGAAGGATTCTTTATCTGTTTTGTCTTATTTTATTGTTACTGTAGTAAAAGATCTGCAGGAAAGCCAGTGCTGTGCTATAAGGATATAGCAAACACAACCTGAAAGATGTCAACATTGACACACAGAGAGAGAATAGCTGTAGACCAACTTCTCTGGAGGCACACAGTAAAAGATAGACTGTCGCAGTTTAAAATAAGCCAAACGCAACCTGAAAGATGTCAACATTGACACACAGAGAGAGAATAGCTGTAGACCAACTTCTCTGGAGGCACACAGCGAAAGATGGACTGTCACAGTTTGAAATAAGTCAAACGCAACAAGCTATAGAGAGGAGACGTCTGAGAGAAAACCAGCACCAAATGATACAGTATCAAAGTTTCTATGTGGACTATGTGACAGAGACTGCTACTTCTGCATTGTGCTTTACAGTCATAGCAGACGCTGTTTCCAAAACCAGGGGCACAACTCTGTGGTCCCCATGGCCCGACGGTTGATTACAACTGTAGAATGAAAGTGATGAGATATAGCGTGGCCTGATTAAATGTTTTTTTGGGTGGGTAGGGGGGGGGGGGGGGGGGGTGGGTTCTGAGTATTTTCCAGACCCTCTGCCCACTCAGCCACTGAATCAGTATCTCCAGATGTGGACAATTTTTTGGTTTTGTTGCTTTACATAAAGTAGTTAACGGACAGAGGAGCAGCAGGAGTCAATCTCTTAGCCAGCTCGTTACCTTATACACCCGAATCTCCTTATAGAAATAAATAACTACTTTAATTTCAGTTACTCCTGCTGCTGCATGATAAGGCAGGCGTGGTTAGTGCCTTGTGGGAGAGTGTGTACAGTTCGGAGGAAGGGATGGATCACCACAGTCTGGTGAGATTGATGCGACAGGAAGTGATGAGAGGTTCTGGCAGATGCTCGAGACTCAAAGGACAGGCAAGACAGACGTTTAATCAGAATGCTACTTTCACCATTAGTATAGGAACTCTTCACTGGCTGCTGAGGATGGGGAAGGAGTGCTTATGGGAATACCCCGAGTGCTGTCAGTTCTTGAATCAAATCAACTCAAGCTGCTGCTAGTGTAAAAAAGATAGTGAAATATTTTGGTCACATTAAAAGATTTAACACTGTTATAAAAACCACACAAGAGGAAAAAGTTAAAGGCATGCCAGCAAGAGGTATGGCGTGAAACAGGTGGGCGGTTAGCATAAACATATACCAGTCAGATATACAAGCGGAAGGTTAACATCAAGAGATAGAGACAAATAACAGAGATACAAGTGGGAAGTTAACATTACCAGATGGACAAGTAGCATTAAGTCAGAGATACAAGTCAATAACAAGAGATTGAGGGAAAAAAAACAGCCACAGATGTAAGTTGGGGGCTTAACATCAACAAATAACAGTCAACGCAGTTAGGAACAACAGTCAAAGTCAAAGAAGTTGGGGGTTAACATAGAGAGACGGACAAACCGAACTCTGACTGTGGGGAGTGTTGGAGATCCAGTACATACAACAGTCATTACTTCACTTCTAATTGATTGACTGGCATCGTCTAAGTTGTGGGAAACCTCCAGGTAGCAGCTCGGAGAGGAGAAAACAGTAAGTGAATCTTAACTTCTCAATGCATCCTCCTAACGCCTCCCTTGACCCGGAAGCAAAAGCATAGTTACGTCCCCTCCCCCTGCAGGAAGGTCAGCGCACATGCAGAACAGATTCCAGCTCGCCAACAGTTAGATCCAGCCTTACTTCTGAATTCATTGAAATCATGGCCAAGACGCTAAAATTTGCGTACTCTGTTACTTCAAAGTTAGTTTCAGGTAGTAGCACGAAGCTATTAGCACAGCCACAGTCAGGCAAAGCTGTAAAACAGTGTTTTGCCGGGGTAAATTGTGGTCTGCTGTCTTCTTCATCAAGGGCACACAATAGCACGCTGTCCCGTCTGGGAAGACAAGTTAGCCGGTCAGATAAAGATAAACCGTGCGAGATTCTTGCTTGTACAAACACCTACAGGGTGAGCTACAGCACTGAAGGTATGTGATTCTAGCCTTTCAGTTAATGTCCTATCTCGTCTTTAAAGTAAGACGACTTATTATCCTTATCTTGTGGATAGTGGATGTTGTTTGTAGTTGCAGGGGACACAAGTCTTGCGTCAGACCAGTTAATGTTATCACAACGTTTATGAGTTTATCATAAACTTTATGTCCATGCCATATATATTAATTTATTAAGTATTTCCAGTCATATTTATGTTATATATTATTAGAGTTTTACTTATCGTTTTAAAATTATCTCAGAGTTTGACAAAGCCAAGGTTAGGAAACCAGAATTAAGTATAACTATACTAACTGTATAACAACGGTTCCCTGGTGAAGGTGAAGCATTTACATATATGATATGCCATACCAGACGTAGAGTGGAGAAATACAGTTATTGAAATTTTTATCTGTTTTCGTGTTCACCAGCTGTACACTGTACTCTGCAGAAAGTTCTAGTATGAACAACCAGAACTTTCTGCCAGAGTTTACAGTTACAGTCAGTTTAAGTTAAGGCAAAAAAGGAGAGGATTAACTCTGCGCAATTCATATTTATTTCAAAAACCTTTTCATTGTCATTTGTACTCATATAGTATATGGTATTTGTATACATATGGTATATGATATACCATCCATATTTGAGTATTGTGACTAACTGCCCCCCCCCCCCTTTTTAAAAAAAAAATTTTTTCTTCCTGGCTGTCACCTGAAGGTTTTGACACTGGACCCCATGTTAACCGAAGATTCCTGGCATTCCACATACCCACAAATCCACAGAGATACAAATCTGGAATGTTTTTGGGAATCTCCAGACAAAAATGTCCAATCCCCCGTTCAGCCTCATAAGTAGTTTTAGTTCATTCATCATCTGTCAGCAGGTCCTTTATACAGAACATCGCTCAGCACGTCTGACAGTCTCTCTTTCTCTAGCCAGTTCTACGTTCTACAGCTCTTTTATAGCATGTCAAATGTGCATCTTATTTTTGGAAACATCAGCCTCCATCACTGTTCTTTTGAGTTTAGCTTTCAGTACAGGATGTTTATGAGCCAGTTATTCTTGATGCATATAATTAACCTGTTTACTGCACGCTTCTCTGGGTGGAAAGGGAATAATTTTAGTATTAAATTGTAGTTCCAGAAATTTACTGCATCTTTTTATTAGGGATTTTAAAAAGTCAGGACTCATTGTATTTCAGAACTGCATAATGACACACTGAGAAAATTTGAGAACAATATAACTGGAATGTCTTTGCTATGCAACCCGCAGGGGCATAGAAATAATGGAAGAACAGAAAACACACACAGAAGGGAGCAAGAGAGTGAAGTTAAAAAGATGGGGAGAGTTGCATCCAATAGCGAAGGACTTGGTATGAGTTGGTTGAAGGCCTATGCATACTTGGGGAGAAAGAATAAGATACACCTAAAGTTATAGTAATGCTAAAATACAATTCAGATTCCACGCATTCATGTTTTCTGATGTCGTTATGCAGTTGAGAAAGATCTGTCTACATTCTTGGAAAAAGAGATCAAGTTTGAAAGTTCAAAAGCAAGCGACAAACTGCCCAAAATTGCTGGATTTGACATAACAACAGATGGTGGGGACGTGACCTTGACAAAGAGCGGCAAAGGCGAGAAGTATGGCATTTCAGTATTGTTCTGTAGCAGCAGTGTAGTTGTAGTTTTGTGTAGTGCTTCGTTGCATGAGAGTAGTATTCTTGAAATGCTAAAGAATAAGTTTGATCTGCTCAGGAGTAACACATTGTAATAGTAGAAAGAGTAGTAAGAGCTTAACTATTAGTCATTTTCCCTGTGTGGATTCCGGGGTCCAATTTTGTAGAAGAATAAAAAAGAATAGACCCACTGCCTCCCTAACAAGCATGTCAGAAAAGGAATTAGGAATTTTTCCTCTAAAAAATAAGCACATCTGCCTGAGAGGGGCGAGGAACCAACAGTCTGCATTCAAGTAAGCCAGACCTGTCAAATGGATGGGCTCACAGCACTTAAGCTCTGAAGCAAGAGTAGATATCTATCGTTTCCTTTTTAGGATGAAATTTTTTGTTATTGGAAGCCCCACCTTGGCTTTTGCCAAGGGCCGCAATTTAAGCAGGCCATAAATATGGCAAATTTTCTGAACACAGTTTCTGGGACCTCTCCACAGCGATCCTCATCCACATGGTGGCACTTTGTGTCATCGGGTATTTATCGCTTGTGTGATGTCCTGGTGGGGTAGAAAGTCAGTCAGCAAGGGTAGTTCAGAAATAGATTAACAACCAAAGTTTACTGCTCTTGAATGCTAAGAAGTCATTATAGTAAGAGAAGTAGTAGTCGTATAAGTAAACACAGCAGGACTGTTTTCTGGTGGTATATGCTGGCAGTCTTTTAGGCATAACACAGCAGGACTGTTTTCTGGTGGTAGGGGAAGGGGTAAGTGAAGATTTGCGCTATGCTGGCATGTCTTTTAGGCATAATTTTTTTTCAATGTTACTGTAGTAGGCATGTTGCTGTGGGTCATACTGCCAGTTACTGTATCACTTTTGCGGTGCAGGCAGGGGAAGGGGTCTTTAAACGTGAAGATTTAGGCTGCGTGGCGGGTGCTGAGGTTATGTTTGTTTTTTGACCCGGCAGAACGAAATATGCAACCTTACCAAGGATTTCAAACCTAGGTCTCGCGCACCAGAGTCCAGCGCTCTTAAGTAATTAAACTAGCTGCTCCTCTTTGTTGGAAGTACCAGCACTTTTTTCGATGCTATGTCATGAGTACAGGCCCTTCCATGGTATTCCCTGACGCCTGTACCCATTTTAGATCGGGTCAACCTGTGAGTCCCGGCTGAACTGTGAACAGTTTTGTCTCAGTGATGATTGACTCTAAGATGAAATAGAAGAGTATAATAGAACATTGCAATTATTATTTATATAACACCAGCGAAAGTGAGCGTTTAGCAGTGATAACAGAGCAGCGAGTTGTAAGTGGGGATTATAACAGGACAATGATTGTGTTACATATGGCTAACTAGAATAATGAGTGTTACAGATAGCAAATAGAGCATGAGTTTGTTACAGATAGCAAATAGAGCATGAGTTTGTTACAGATAACAAATAGAGCAATGAGTTTGTTTCAGATAGCAAATAGAGCATGAGTTTGTTACAGATAGCAAATAGAGCAATGAGTTTGTTACAGATAGCAAATAGAGCAGTTTGTTACAGATAGCAAACAGAGCAATGAGTTTGTTACAGACAGCAAATAGAGCAGTTTGTTACAGATAGCAAAAGGAGCAGTTTGTTACAGATAGCAAATAGAGCAATGAGTTTGTTACAGATAGCAAATAGAGCAATGAGTTTGTTACAGATAGCAAATAGAGCAAATGAGTTTGTTACAGATAGCAATAGAGCAGTTTGTTACAGATAGCAAATAGAGCAATGAGTTTGTTACAGATAGCAAATAGAGCAATCAGTTTTAATTGGTGAATGTTGTAGCCAGTCCACTACAACATAAACAACATGAGCACGGCTGTTTGTGTAATGATTAAAACAGTGAAGAATAATTGTAAGAGCTGAACTGTTTCATGAGATTTGGAAGTTGAATAATGAATCTATGCTTGCATATGTGCAGGATCACTATCAAGCTGAGTGTAAATGGAGCAGTTGATTCATTTGGCTCAGAGGATGTACCACAGGACGATCAAGAACCACCCCAGGTATTGAATTCTTCTGCACGTTACCCACCAGCTCTCACTATGAGTTCTGTCCAGCTTATACACCTCAGTTTCTCGTTCTTTTCTTATTTTTTTTTAAACAAGTAGTGAAAGCAGAGATAGAAACCAGAATCCAACAAGCTTGTCCAGCTTATACACCTCAGTTTCTCATTCTTTTCTTATTTTTTTTTTCAAACAAGTAGTGAAAGCAGAGATAGAAACCAGAATCCAACAAGCCTACAGTGTCACGTGCAAACTTGTTCCAGTTTTAATTAAAACACCCTGCTATCCCAATAATGACAAAGCGACAAATTATAAATACAATATTTATACCGACTTTAGGTTACCAGTGTTAGACTTGGACATTGACAAAATAAAACGGGAGAAAACTAACCATCTGTGAGATGTTTGAGAATGGCTGTGAATAAAACCAGAAGAGATCGAGTGAAAAACGACAAGAACTGTTCAAACAACACCTATCATTAAATTTATTGAGAAACAAAGAATGAAATTGTTTAGCCATCTGATGAGAATGAAACCAACGATGCCTGCAGCAAGAGCGTACATCATGAAAATTGAAACACCAAGAAGCAGGGGCAGACCGAGAAGATGGACTGAAGGAGTCATTGGCACTTTTGAGACTGCATAACATCATGGCATATCAAGCGACAGTGTGGCGGGTAACTTCGCTTTAACTAGCGAATGCACTATGTGCACTTTACATAGGGAACAACAAACTGTAAATCTTAATAGGGGTTTTTATTACCCCCAGCCTTGCTGGTTAAATTAGAGGATTTGGGGTTTGCCCACATCTTATTCCCTGCTGTAATTAATTGTATATTTAAATGTATTTAAATTACACTAGCTTTTGTTCACTGACACACGTACAGTTACAATGAAACTTCAGAAAACTGTAAGAACATTAAAATTATTTTAACATTTATTTTGAAAATTCAAATGATAACTAAATAAAATGGCTGTGGATATAAAATCCTGTTATTCAAGGTAGGTTAGTTAAATCTTAGCTGTAGCTTAGGTTTCTGTTGTCAGCTTCTGACTAAGCTTCGGAAACACATCAGGCAGGCCGAATCTTCCAGTCCAGTCCGGACAATCGGGTATCTGCAGCTAAGCTTAGGATCTACTTCTGGACTACCATCTGGAATACAATCTGGAACTAGAACAATAGAACAGTCCTTAAACAAACAGTCAGGAAGGTTCTAACTGGAGACAACAATACCTCCAGTCTTTAAACTGTTACACTACACACATATATATGGAGTAGGATAGTAACAGGTGTTCACATTCTACTGGTATAGAATGGGAATGTATACAGAACATGGTCCATAATCCTGATGGGGAAATATTTAGGAAACCAGTTTCATGAATACTCTCAAGAACCAGAGTTTACAGCACACAAAAGGAAAGGACATTCCTCAGTGTAAATTGTTCTGATGTCTGCACACTAGTACTCCTTTGAAGGGTTAACATGCTTACACACACAGACATACACAGTCATATTTCACAATATTCTCCTTTTAACCACATGGGTTCACATCACAATGAATGAGAAACAGGGAGTGAGTTTACCAAGACCAGGAACTCATAACAGGTGCTTTGCACTGTTTGAAAACAAATGGGATTGACATATCTCCATCAATATACTGGGTGCTGGGATAGATGTCAAAATACAATCATAGATGACAATGGGCTTTCCATCTGTCACAGTATTAACATAAAATATACAACACTCACTCCAGTTTTAAATCTAAATCCACACATGTGCTAATCTTATTCAGCAGAGTTTAGAAGTGGTGAGGGGTGAAATATAATTATTACATTGTAAGGCCACCTGCTGTAGAACTGAAATGTATTCCTAGTAATAGGGAAATATATCTACAACAATAATAATTACAAGCAGGGGCCATACATCTCTTTTCTGCTTCTTCTTCTCTGACAGTGTGAATATTAAATTCAGCCTCACTGTGTTATTCACTTTCCAAGCTCTTAAACTAGTCTCAAAATTATCTGGACTAAATCTAAATTAAAGCAAGACAGTGATTTATTAAGCTAATATCACCATGAGGTAAAAATCAACTTAGAAGGGATTAGGTATAATGAATATACAATTCATTCCTTTTTAATTGTCTAAGCTGGAAACCGGAACTGGCTGAGATTTCACATGAGGACATAATTATCACTTAATTAATATAAGTATAATTATTAAAAATACCAATGCACGTTTCTAGTAGCAAATAAACATTAATTCAATCATCAAATCGATAATATGTTTGCATACATGTACATACTAGATCATAAACGTGGTAAGTGAGGATAAAGAAAATTTATCATAGTTGTTGAGCCATGTGGGCATTAAATTCCAGAATTTAACCTGTGGAATTAATTCAGAGGAATAAGCAGCAATACATCAAATTAAACTTATTCTTTTAACTCACCCCTGGCAGGGAATTCAAACAGAAAATTGGACCACAGGCGGACTAAGAACTTTAGTCTGAACCGGTCAATTTCTGAATTGAAAAGGGAACAGGAAGTCAGGAGGAAGTAACTCTTCAGTCCCCCTTGCCCTACTCTTCGCCTATATTACCTTTCAACTCTTTAATTATAATTTTGCTACAATAAAGCATTAAGAAAAAGGTAAGGAAATTTCTTAATTAATCCAGTGTTATTATGCTAATTAAAAGCAATAGGAAAATGTTTAGAACTTTGGTAATAATATTATCTAAACAAAGCACTTTTTAAAAGGACAGAAACAGCTGTCCAGACCAGCTCGTCACAGACAGCACACCCTGGCTTGGCTGCTGATCATTTGATGAGCTGCAACGCCTAGCGGCATAAGCAGATGCTGACAAAAGGAGAAGGTGAAAGCACCGGTGTCAAAAAATTAATCCAGGAAACTGGGGGGAACAGCTCAATAAAAGGGGAAGGGAAACAACATGCATAAAACTGACATTTTGGCTTTCTCGGGAAAGACCCTGGCTGAAATGCCCTGACCCTTGTGACCTGTAAGCCAACTATAGCGGGTCAGTACTTGATTTGGTCACCTGCTACCAGTGGCCAATGGTGGAAATGTCATAGGTATTTTTAAAAATAAAACCATATTTTTAAAAGAAACCATCAATTTTTAGTAAATTTAATCATTCCCTGTCACTGTGAACATTTGTGCAGATGCAATAAATTCTGTTAGTTAGAAAGGTTAGATAGAGATATGCAGCTTTCACCTGAAACCCACTCCAGTGGGTCTGTAGTGAGCCGGAAAAGCTGTTAGGGTATATGGTATCAGTGCAAGACTTCTCATGACAAAAGTGTTAGAAATCGTCTTATTAGAGAGACGAGACAATCTATAACATTCTGATGGTTTTACAGGTAAAAGAAATTTCGTCTGACTAATGGTACGCTGGCCTCCTTTTTTGTATTAGGAGCCTTCATTTGAAACCCATTCATACAACAGTGAACATGATCATAGTCATATAAGTACAGACCAAAGAGTTGAGTCAAGAATTGACATCACAGCACTCAGGGCATTCACATGTGGGCTCTGTCCTCATCTTCAGCAGCCAGCGTAGAGTTCAAATACCGATTGTACTGGTCACAATCTGGTTATATGTCTGTCTTGCCTTTCCTCTGAGTGTAGTGAGCCGGCCAGACCCTCTGGTCACACCTAGGTGCCTCATTCTCCACAGGCATACTGACCGTTGAATTTCAGAGCACCTGCTTGACGTCCCCTGTTGCATAGGTTCTGTTTCTGACAACCCAAGGTGCACAATTCATTTAAAAAAAACCTATGCCCTGTGTAATTCTGCCACACCTATTGTATATTTATGTCTCTTTCATGAATTGTAATATGGCCACTGCAGTGGGTTTCAGACAAACGCTGCATCTCTTTATCTAACAGATTGTATGCAAATCTCACTGCGCATTTCATTGTTTTATCTGACAGATGGAATGCAAATCTCACTGCGCATTTCATTGTTTTATCTGACAGATGGTGTGCAAATCTAACTGCGTATTTCCTTGTTTTATCTGACAGATGGTGTGCAGGCCTCCCTTCAATGTTGAGATTTCAAAAGGCAGCACTATCCTGGCCCTGCAGTGCTCTTTCCCCTCTGCATACCCTGAAGATGAAGCGGAGTACGCCAAGGGAAAACCAGTGGAGGAACAGATTGGTGAGTTTTTATTTCGTTTAAAAAAAAAAAGAAAGGCGGCCACTCCCAGGTAAACCCAGTCTAAAATGGGTGCCATGTAAAGTCTTGGGAAGTAAAGGTGGCATCATATGCACCACTGGCGGTGGAAGGATTCTTTACTTGTTTTACCTGGAGATTTATTATCTCGTGCTTTGTTTTGTTTCTTCACATCTGTCTTCTTGATGGTCTGGATATATTCTGTTGATGATATTCCTTGCCTGCCCAGCATCATTTTCCTGGTCTGTCTTTTCTACTTTGTGTCTCTTTCTTCCTAGCTTTCACCAGCAGTAAAATCTGGTGGTTCTAATTGTTCTGGGCTTTGTTCTTATTCCATAACAAAGCAACATCTTATACACAACAAATTTGCTGCCTGTGCAAGACATGGTCACTCGTAACAACATGGTCACCCGTAACATCATGGTCACTCGTAACATCATGGTCACTCGTAACATCATGGTCACTCGTAACATCATGGTCACTCGTAACATCATGGTCACTCATAACATCACGGTCACTTGTAACAATTCAGAAACCATGGAAATAAGACATCCTGCAGGGGAGAGCAGAAGAGATAATACGAGGAAAAGTTTTGCAGGCTTGTGCGTTTTACAGATTTGGTTTTTTTTGTATGCCGACTGTCGGTTCATCGTCTTTCAGCAGATGCATTATAACTTCCAAGAAAACCCCCTTAAACAGTCACCTTTTATGATATGCTGGCTAGTGGGCATCAGGTCTTTTCTCCCCTTCCTCATTTCCAGTTTTCCCTAAATTGTCTAAAGCCTGTCTGCTTATCACATGGGGAAAGAACAGTGTTGCTTTCTTATAGTCCCTCCCATCCATCTTGCATACGGATAAAGCATGGCTAAGCGTGCAGGTCTCTAATGCTTTCTCCCTGGTGACCTAAAAAACACTGCCTGTGGCCTGTGGTTATGGAACTCCCCCCCCCCCCCCTGTTGGCAGTTTACATCATTTCTATAAATAGACATTTTGGCTTTAGAAAACCCCCCAAAGACATTCATTTTTCGTAGTGAAAGCATAGTAATTCTGGGTCATAGTAACCTGAATGTTGTGTACACCTTCGGTTTTATGGATCTGACAGATTTTTGTGCAGACTTGGGGGTTTCTTGCCTCTCATGCGGATCCGCTTTGACTTTGAAAAAAGCTCCTAAATAGTCGACTCTTACAACATCGTTTTCTTCTTGTTGTCTTCTTGTCCTGCAGTGGAGCATTGGCTGTCAGCCATGTCACCCTGTCATTTGCTATCACTTGCAGCTCAGCCTATGTCCTCCCCATCTTTCTCATTTAGCTCCCTTCTCCCTGTGTCTGCTTTTATTTCTTTGACCCTGTTAGCTCCGCACAAAGGCAATCTGATTAGACTGTCATCAGGTTGTCTCATCGTGTGTCCAATCCAACTCTAATGTCTCATTACACTCACCTTCAAATTTCCTAAATTCCTACCTACCCAGCTGATTGAGATTTGTCAACACATAAATTGCTGAATACGTTCACTTGCAGGTGACCAGTTTGAAATTGAAGAGATAGCCATTCACGGAGGAGAGTGGACCGACACTACCTACACAGTTTCAGCCGAGACTATGGATGCAGTAAGTTATTTTTGTTTTATTCGAAGTGCTCCTCAAATCTTGTCGGTCATGGAGAGGAAGCTTCTGATTACCATTCTTATGTGTGTTGTCTGTTAAACATGTCTTGTGTTTCTGGTCCTTTGTGACAGTTTGAGTTTTGGCAATTGTTTTTGCTTCTAGCTAGTTATCTGTTGCATTGCCCCAAATGTTGACTGAAATTGTATTAAGTCACCCAGCTACTGAGCTGTGTGCATGGTGCAACACGGCTGGGGAATGTTGAATGTTGAACACCAGTTCTGTATTAGTTTCGTATTCTTCTTTGGCTTCCTGCATAGCACTCTTGTCTGACCACACCCCTTTTAACATGTTTTTCTTGCAGTCTGGTCATGGTTACCGATTCATTCATCACTCGGCTCTTACAAACCTCTCATTAAGCATTTAGCATATTATTCTGATCCATGACTTGTCTGTCCTCCACAGTAGCTTGGCCTGTAAGCCAGGTAACTTGCTCATTTCCTTACACGCCTGTGCCCTCTGGCACTAATACGAAACTGATTTGTGCCAGCTCCGATTGCTTCAGAGACTCTCCATGTCTTTTGACAGGATCATCTTTATCTTTCTGAGCTTACCCATGCTCAAGCATATGGGGATAAAATGGCTGTCTCTATATTCTTAACTGCATGAGCACTCCTTATGTTTGTTCAATAGATAAATATGTCCTGTTTGCCCAGTATAAAATCATGTATCTTGTGTGTCCTTGCCAGGAACTCTTCGACCTTCTAATGGACATGTTGGATGAGAGGGGCATCAACGACGAGTTTGTGGCACAGTTGATCGACTTCTGTACAGCTTACGAGAACCAGCAGTATGTCAGCTTTCTGCAGAATTTGAAATCCTTTGTTGACAAATAGACAAGGACCATTCATTGTGTCTGAAACAGTTGTGCGACTTGCTTGTTGGAATGATAGGTTTTTTGGTTGGAATCAGAGCAGTTTATTTGTTTAGTATGCATGGTTGGTTTATTAGATTTGTACAAAAATCTTGTTTCAGAGCTTGAGTTTGCCTACATATGTGTTTACAGATTTTGGCTTTTTTTGTATGCAAACTGTTGGTTTCTCAGTGTTGAATTAATAGTCGATATCACAGCACTCAGGACACTCCCATAAGTGCTCAGTCTCCATCTTAAGCAGCAAGCAACGTGTTTCAATTCCAATGGTACCAGTAAGTGTCTGATTGTATATCCGTCTCATTTCCCTGGGTGTTGTGCGTCGGCCAGATTCCCTGGTAACTCTGCAGCGTCGTTTTTTTTAGATCCTACTGATTCGTTCTACGACTCTGCACTGTTTATTGGTTTCTTATCTGTCGTGTAGGTGCACTTAGAAATTAGCATCCCTAGTCAGTAGATGTATGCCATGTATGTTGTGGTGGGGGGGGCAGAGGCACCCCGCACAATAGAGCCCTAGTGCTCACAGTGAATGAGATACTTTCTTCACCACAGTTTCTACAGTTTGCCTGCTTAACTAAGTAATCCCTGCTGCAATTTACTGTCACAACTTTTTGGAGTTCCTATTATAATGTTCCTTTGCCCTCTGGGTATAGTGTCCAATATCAACATGGGACTGGTACTGTTCTTTTTATGTCTGTTTTGTGCTAACCACTATGCGTAGTTGATATGAAAGAATTGTATCTGCTGTTCTAGAAGTTTGTCAGCTTGATCAAAATTGCCTCATTTTTATATGTTTATCTGTATTCATTACCAAAAGAAACTCATTTGCTGATGTGTAATTAATTTCTGAATTGACTTTTTTCCAAATTGACTTATCACGCCTGTCGGAAGGAGAGTTTTTGTGTTTGGGGGGAGGGGGTGTGTTTTCATATTGAAACATGTGTTGTGACCTCTTGAAAGATTTGTTAAAAAAATAAAGACAATGCGAGAAGATCCTCAACATACTTTTTTGTCATTGCATTAAAAGGTGTCAGCGTGTGAGTTGTCAGAACTACAGGTTGTGGAGAGACATGATCACCCACACCAGTAGGCAAGGTACTTGATGGTGGGTGGCTGCTTTTTGCATCCACCGTTGTGTTTGTCAGGTTGTTCTTGGCCATCACTACTTCATTAACAAAGAATTGTGATTTGGGTTGCATACTGTTGGTGTTGGCATCTCTAGTGGCTGTCTTATGCATTTACTGTAAATACATGTTTCTGGATTTTTCTGAGAATTCATTTGTTGTTTCACTAGCTTTCAAATGGGATTATGGAGGACATTTTGTATGATTTTGACTAACACGGGGGGAGGTGCTATCATAGGGTGACCCAATTGCAAATAAATTGAAACGGGAGCTATTGACTGTCTCATCTGCCCTTTGTCACCTGATTAAATGTAGGCCACTGTTCTTTGTCAAAAACGCCTCAAGTTGGCACCTTTGCAGACGTTTGTGTTATATCAGAATTAGAAAGACGTGGGAATCATGCGGCAAATATTACTAGCAAGACATGCTTATTTTTTTACAATTAGTTTATGGGTTTGGGGGGGGGGGGGATAGTCCCACTGCCTCCCTAAGAGGCATGTTGTACAGGATGACTGATTAGGGGATTTTACTTCCTGAGAGGCAAGGAACCAACAGTCTGCACATAAAAAGCTGGGTCTGTAAAATGGAAAGTCCAGATATGGACAAACAGCCAGAATTTTCCGCCTGAGTCTACAGTCAGTGAATGCTGAGAAGAAGAAAAAGTATGTGATGTCAAGGTCATTATTGCACATATTTAGTGTGCTTCTCAGACACTCAGCTCCCATCCTATTCGCAGCCATCGAGGTATGGTGTCTGCTTCGAGTGCTGTAGATCCCGGGTTCAAGCCCCGGTTAGGGCTAGGTTTTTTTCCCACATCGACTTCTAGAAATTTCCCTTGGTCTGTGGGTAGTAAGACCAGACTTAATTACTTACTTACATTGTCGCTCCTCTTCTACCTTGGGGTGTAGAGGTTTGCCAGAGAGATCGCCAGACGTCTCTATCAGCAGTTTTCTTTCTGGCTTTGTTCCATTCCAGTCCTCTGTCGGATGTTGCCTTCCCAGCGCACCCTGGGTCGTCCTGGAGGTCTGGTTCCCTGGTTCTTAGCCTCCCATGCTTGCCATGGTGGCCGATTTTCTCCCATTCTGCACACATGTCCAAACCATTGTAACTGTGACTGATCTACTCGGGTTAGTAAGGGCTGGGTATCAAGATCTTGACGTATTGTCTGATTGCGGACTTTGTCCCTTCTTGTCACTTGGACCACCTTTCTCAGGTAAGTAAGACCAGACACCCGTGTATATTGTTGTGCACGTAAAAAATCCCTTGGCAGTTGGAAATCAAAAAAGAGTAGCTTAACAGCGCTGCCCGAGCAAAATTTTGAGTTGAAAATCTACCTTAAGTATTTCAGGTACAACAGAGTTTGTGCACTGCATTGAGATTCTGCAGACTCAGGCTTGGAAGTAGAACGGAGCATGTCTGGGTTATACCCGTGTGCTATAATGTTGATTGAACCATACAAATTAATTTTCTCCTTTATTTCTTCCTATACCTCACTACCTGTCTCGTTCAATCCTTCTCCCACATCTCTTTATATCATAATAGTAGCCAACCTCGATATCTTCTACTGATTTGTAATTCACCAAAGAGGTTGTTCTTAGGGACTGCGAGTATGACCAAGCCAAGTCAGCAGACTGGACATACCTGCTCTTTCCAATTCCTTATTCATTGCCTCAAGTGGGATTTGAATATATGATCTAACCAACCACTCTGCTGCTAGGCAAGTGTACCAGCCACAATACTACAGTGGACCCCAGGTATATGGTGTTACAAAATGATATCAAACCAAACAAAAAGTAGAGCTAGAGAGCTTCATATCATCACATATCTGTCTGAGCAGTTTAATCTCTGACACGTGTGTAGCTACCGGAAATAAGTACAAGCCAGAAAAGGCTGTGAATGACAACAACATAACTCAAAAATGATAGATACAACTGTGTTGGATGTTAAGTCCCCTGGGCAAACTGGAGAGTCTTGCGAACGACCATGTTAGACTTAATGGGTGATGCTGGCAAGCATTGTAGCAACTTTAACCTTAATAGCAAAGCAAGACAACCAAATTCCATTGGATCAAGAAATGAGAGAAGACTGGCATCGGATCAGACATATGATGAGAAGAAAACCTGACGACACCGTAAATAGTGTCTGTTTGACTGGAACCCATATAGTCAAGGGGGACAATGCAGATACATATAACAGTTAGTTCTGAAGAGGAAAATTCAACACGAACTCCAGCGCAGAACTTTAAGTTGTCACTCTACCATCTGGCCACTAAACAGCAACGGATTCCATGTAATTGTAAAAAGGGGGGGGGGTGAAGGGGGTGACAAAGATTTACGACAATCTCAGCCATGACACAGTAAATCTATATAGGTTGCAAACATCTAATTATATTTTTATTTTAAATCACACCTATTCTTTCGATAAACTGTCACATAGACATAAATTTCTAGCTCCGTCATTTACTGCCATAGTTATCAACTTGAATTATTATTTTCACCATCGTCGATATATATCCCGCATAATGATGACTGCATCACCCACCAAATACTGATTGGTCTTTAAAATAAAAGTCTTGCCCAATATGCCTAGTGGTGTGCAAAATAGTCCTTTACTTTTGTACTTGTCTATATATACTATATATTACACACTGACTAATAATATGTGATCCATTTTTTAGACAAACATCTGAGCAGGGCTTTTTTCTGCACAAACATGCAGATACTCAACTCAAAGTGTCATAAAATTAAAAAGGTGCCAGTACTCGCCTCAAAGTGGTCTGAAAAGGTGCAAGTACTCACCTCAAAGTTTTAAAAAGGTGCAAGTACTCACCTCAAAGTGGTTTTAAAAGGTGCAAGTACTCACCTCAAAGTGGTTTTAAAAGGTGCAAGTACTCACCTCAAAGTGGTTTTAAAAGGTGCCAGTACTCACCCGAAAGACATCGGGGTGCAGTCTTGAGCTGCAAGAAATGAACATTTCACTAAGAGGACAAGACGTTTCATTACCCAACACAGAAACTTCGTCATCAGTCGTACACTCGTGGAGCTTTTGAGGAGGAGATTGGAGCACCTATGGATCTGTCTGGTTTCAAACGGATTATAGTAAGAGTACTCAAAAACAAAAAATTCAATCCATTATTATTGTAATAATATGAAAAATACCGAATATGTTATTTATTGCTTTCGTTCCTGGAAATTAAATTAAACCCTACCAAAGCAGTTCTCCTTCTTTAATAATTTTTTTTTTTCATGGTGGTAGGTGCGGAGGATGGTGCGTCGCATAGGTTATAAGTCCAGTAGAAGGTGTACTACCAGTGGCAGACGTGGTGGTAGGTGCGGATGGTGGTGCGTCGCATAGTTTATAAGTCCAGTAGAAGGTGTACTACCAGTGGCAGGCGTGATTTTAGGTACGGATGATGGTGCGTCGTATAGTTTATAAGTCCAGTAGAAGGTGTACTACCAGTGGTGGTAGGTGCGGATGGTGGTGAGTCGCATAGTTTATAAGTCCAGTAGAAGGTGTACTACCAGTGGCAGACGTGGTGGTATGTGCGGATGGTGGTGCGTCGCATAGGTTATACGTATAGTAGAAGGTGTACTACCAGTGGCAGACGTGGTGGTAGGTGCGGATGGTGGTGCGTCGCAGAGGTTAAAAGTCCAGTTGAAGATGTACTACCAGGGGCAGACGTGGTAGTATATGCGGATGGTGGTGCGTCGCATAGGTTATAAGTCCAGTAGAAGGTGTACTGCCAGTGCCGAACGTGGTCACTCATAACAAAATACAAAAGAAAATTAGTAACAATGGAAATTAGGTGTCTGAGAAGGGCTGTAGGAGTGACCAGAAAAGA